AAATTCATCGATCCACGTCCCCTCCAACGGTTTCAACCATTTCTCGAAATTATCCCAAATTTAAAATTGAAAACGCGCCCCCTCGAACACCCACTCCCCTCTGCTTTCCACGCGGTTTCCTTCGGCCCATCCCCTCCCAATTTCCCCTCCATCGGTACGCCCGGGATTTTTAGCATCTCGAGGAGGAAAGCTCGCGTGAGCCTTTGAAATGACGGTTTTCTCGTCTTAAGTGGCACCACCTATCTCCTGCCTGGGAGATGCTGGCTTACGTTTAAAGCGTCTCTCCCCTCTCCCTCGATCCTCCTCGACGTCTTCGCCTTCCCGCCTCGTCTACCCGGCTCCATCGTGCCATTACACGATTCCATCTCTCGCAAGAATGTTCGCAATAATGTTACAAGCGTGACTGCGGCCTGGGGGACAAAGGTAGGGGTAGGGGTAGGTACCGTCGTTGCAAATGTGCCCGATCTTATTAGCCGGATAGTTCTTTCGAGGGTTGAAGTGCCGGCGCAAGGATTTTTATCGCATTACCGCCGGCCGGGAGAGGACGTATCAAAGCGAGTCGGATAATCGAATTAAAGGAGGGCCCCGATATAATTTTAATGGCCGCCCGTTAACGAGATGGAGGACGACTTCCTCTCTTTTCTTTCTTTTTTTTCTTTTCTCTCTTCCCGTTTCCTCCACCGACCGCGCTTCCGTTTCCGTTTCCTTCTTTTTCTTTTTTCCTTTCCTCCTCCTATCGGCTCCTTCCTTAAGAAGATACGAACGTGCACGTCACGTTCTCCGGAATCCCGCAATTAAGATCCACTCGCACGCTTCGAGAGATTCGGATCCGATCTTTTTTTTTCTCGCGGGATTTCGAAGATTTTTGATCGGATACATTGGATATTTCCGTCTCGGATGGATGTTTAAACAGCGGAATTATATACGAAGTAATACTAGTATATATCGAGTTTAGGAAAGATTATAATTCTATGGTAATACGGATTGATTGATCGTGTGTCTTTTCTATCTTCGATCGCGATAATAACCCTTTGCACTGATATTAAGAAGGTTACAATTCAGCTAGGAATTTTTTTCCATATTCGATCAAAATGAAACAATTTTTCTGGGGATACGTTACAAGTTAACTTTTAATAAGAAAAAAAATTGGAAAATAAAAAATAAATTTTATCTGCATCTCAATCCCTTGATCAATGAAAATCTAATATAATATGTGTATATATCTTTACTACTTTTTATTTATTTATTTTATTTTATACACACACACACACACACACACACATTTAAGCAGAAATTAAAAGAAAACATTGTAACAAGGTCCTTAGAATGTAAATACATGTATTTACAATAATAAAATGTAGGATAGCGACGTACGAGTGCAAAGGGTTAATCTGTCGGTAATGATTTCAAGCCGAGTCTTTGGCCCCGCTCAATGTCGTCGCGATATCCTTCTCCTCGATCTCGCGTTGCATCGCAATTCACGCCGTGGATCGTTATCAATCATTAATGATAATTTGTCGACAATGCGTCGGTGAAATTCGTCGGAGTCTGGGAGATCGTCGATGACCGTGAGATTAACTTCCGTCCGTCCCTCTAAACATTGCTGTCGAATCGATGCCGAAATTAATGCCATCGGGGGATGCTTTGATAGGGATATCGCTGTGCCCGCGCGTGTGCGCGCACGCTTTGGACGAGTTCCAAGCGTGCAACGAGTCGACAATAGCCGCCCACTCGTTCCCAGTTATACAGTTTTCGAATTAATCCACGTGGTGATGGCAAAATATGATATTCGTGCAAAGTTGGCGGGAGCACGAATCTCTTTTGATCAAGGAACGACAATTTTAACGACGGAATTGAAATATTGTTTCGAGGCGAAGAACGCGCGATTAGGAATTTCGAAGAATTTTGATATTAAATTCGAATTTTGTATTCGCGCGGTGAGATTGGATTTCGAGACTTGGAAGATCTCGAAAGATTCGATCAAGATGAAGTTTATCGAGCGTCGAAACTCGTTTTTACGAGAACGTATCCTATAATAAGTAACGACCGCCGAAATCTTACGAAGCTCTCTTAAACCCAAGACGCAAGTATAGCACGAAAACAAGTCTACTTTATCATACACTCTTGGGACCCACCACTACCCACGGCTATGCAATAAACCCGACAGTTCCTCCGAGCCGTGCTCTCCTCCTCGGAGCTCCGCTAAAGAAAAACAGATTTCTCGAGTTAGACCTGCCCATAACACGTATCTCGGCTCCCGGAATTTCGTTACTAAAGATTTCACGGAAGATAAGTCGAAAATTTCATTTCGAGATCTCCTTGATTCTCGTTCGAGAAACGTCACTTATATTATTATCTCGAAAGTAGAGAAAAGGGGGAGAAAAGCAAAAAAAAAAAAAAAAACCAAGAAAAAATTCTCAAGAACCGTGTTTATTCTCGAGGAGAAGTAATTTTACCACCGAAAAATCACGAAATCCATGGATGTTCGGAGCGAGCAGAACGAAGGGACGAACGATCCAACAGATCTCGAAATAGCAGGATCAAACTATTCAACGCCGTTCGTTGAACACACTCGGTATTATTGCGCATATTGCGTCGGCCAGAATTCGGTATCGCAGCCACTTTACCCTAACATCATCTTCCGCCGCTCCACTTTTTCCACCCCTCGTTCCATTGTACGCCTCGTATCCGCAAGCGGGCTGCCCGTACAACCCTCCCATAGCCACGGTTTGGCCACGATTTGGTTCCGTATGAAACGAGGTGAACAGTGGAGGGGAGGAAATATAGTCGAAAATATAGAGAGAAAGGCAAAACGAGGGTTTGTGTGTAGGAGGCGGGTAAGGGGCGACACGGTGGAGGGAGAGAGTCACGGGATTCGAGGCTGGTGGAAGCTGGTATACGAGTATGATAGTCCGTTGCATATTTCAGGATCCACTCTTGAAACTGGTGGCGAGAGGCGGCAACGCGCGCCACGACAATTTCACTGTGCGCGATCCTCTGCCAACCTAAGCGATGATTTTACTCTCTCTCTCTCTCTCTCTCTCTCTCTCTCTCGTAGGTAGGGAGGGGAGGGGAGGGTACGGTCG